CTGCAGTGGCTTCACCACAATATACTCTACACCAATTACAATATGAACAAGAAGATATGCAGTCTCATCATCAATGGAGAGAGCGGCAAAAACATTGCATCCCCGCAACTTATGGAGAAATTAGGCATCGTGACTCAGAGGCATTCTCACTCATATTCTCTGACGTCGCTAACGAAAGAGAACCAGGTCAAGATTGACCAGAGGAGTCTAATAGAGTTTTCAATTGGGAGCCAACTATAAGATCCGTTGTGATGTGACATGATACCCATGAACACCTGATACCTTTTGTTGGTGAGACCGTGGTCATTTGGTCATGGGACTCAGCATGATGGATTTAGAAATATCTACTCTTTCACCAAGGAAGAGAAATGCATCGTCCTTCTCCCTTTTGTGGAACCCGAGATCACAGGTACCCTTACTAGCAGAGCAGCGTTGCTGGGACAAAATCTTGGTGACGACAGAGGATGATAGGACCTAAACATTGATTCTAGACTTGGGACAGTCACGATAGAGAACATTTCAAGACATCACAATCAATGACTTAACTCCATGGCCACCACCAATCGAGGAGGTCCATGTTACCCTCACTTCAGATCAGATTGATCCAACCATAGGCTATTTTGGGATGTTTTAGTAGTATAGACATGACACAGACCCAAATCAGATCATTATTGAGCTCTCATAATATTGAAACGATATGGATGTTTGCTCGCAAGTGGAAGCAAATCCTAATGTGCTTTAAAAGGTGATGCAATCGCCAGCAGAATCTGGGTGCTTCTTAGACCACAATAGTAGACCCAGCAACCCCGGGAGACTGCATTGCTTATACTACGTCCAATATAGCAGACTCGACATTGTGCTACAAGAATCCAGAATCTTTGATAAATGAAGTCAGAGCTCCCCAAACCTCTGAAGATTGATGTGGGAGTTGGGGGCCTCAACCAGCCTAATCGGTTCAGGAAGGAGGCGAAACAGAACAAGAAACTGCTTAAGATAGGAGATATCGCCCAAGTGAAGGGGTTTACCCCTCCTAGTTATCCTTTCTTATTTATATGTTATTTTTTTGTGTTAGGGTTTGCTTTTTGTTGAAATATGACAGAAGATGCTTCGGCTATAGCTCATCTCATAGTGGTGTGTATCCTTCCCCTTTTCCAAGCTTGCAAAACCCTTCTATGCACCCCCATTCTCGCTTAGTTCTCTGTCGTCATCCCCACACCCTTCTATACAGCTGCCAATCTTCCCAACCTAACGCTACTAATGTCCTGAAACCCCATCACCTGCTGCACTCAGACGCCTTCCCCTCCTGCCTTCCCCAAAGTCGTTGCACCATTCCCTACCCTGCCTACTACTTCGGCAATAACCCAACCTGCAGCGATGCTTGCAACGGCTAACCTAATCCTTCATCCTTTTTTATCCACAACAATTCTGGCCCCTACCCATACAACCATCACAAACCTACCTATCCTCATCCAACCGACACCCACATCTCCTAAGTCCTCTCAACACTACCCATCAGCCCCCTGTCTCACCCTAGCCAAAGAATCATGTTGGGTTGTATTGTTTTTCTTATTTTGAGTCTTGATTCTATCCCCGTTGTTTTGGCATAATAAAATATGCTTTCCTATCGGACTGTTGGTTAACTCCGGTACCAAAAAAATACTTTATGCTTCAATATTTCATTTATTGTGCACACCATGATGTGCACTATCACATAGCATGAAAGTTATGATAATAACGAGAAAAACTTCTGTAGAAATTTGGACAGCAATAATAGATAAAATTAAAACGTTACTAAAACAAAATAGTACAATCCCAAATACAAAAAAAGATGAACACCTACAATTTGAGAGTTAGGCGATCTCTCCCAACCGTAATTCCTATTACTCGGAGACAATAATCACATAACCTAACCCTAAACATATTAAATCTGATTTATACCCCCATAAAAATAAGTAACAATCCACTAAATTAGCCTTTTAGCCTTGTGCCTAACATAAGTCTTCAAATTATTTGACAAACTCGGCGTTGACTCAATGAAATACAAAGCAGGCGGCATTGTAGGAAGGCTCACGGAGAGAATTTTTACTTCTTGAAATGTTAACAATTCATTAATATTTGGCAAGAGTGGCATGAAATTAAAGAGCTTTAACATAGGTGGTGATAAACATACCTCAATATAATAAACTATATACTCACCATAGATATACTATTATAATACATTTACGAAAGATAGAAACATTATGATACCGGAGGAAAAAGACCAAAAACACCAAGAAAGAACATAATTATTATTATTGAATTGAAAAGAATACAAACGAGACTCTTGCAACATGAAATAAATGACAACATACAAACAGAAAGGACAAGATAATGCTGTCAAAATATAAGATAGAAAGCAACTGAAAATACATAAATGGTCATATAGGAAACGGGTACAAGGGTGGTGGCCTGAAATGGGTTGGCGACTGCTGGAGGGTGGCAGGAGGGAGCTGCGGTGGCCTAGGGCAGCAGTAGACGGTGGCGAGGTCTGGACAGTAGGGCAATAATGCAACATGGAGAGGCGTCAGGGGCTGAACAGCAGACAAGCGTCGATGGTTGGACAACAGCAGGGACAGGCCAGGTAGGGGTTGTCGGCAACAGGGGCTGTCGGTGGCAGGGGCTGTCGGTAGGGCTGTTAATTTGGCTCGTTGTTCGTGAACAGCTCGTGTTCGGCTCGTTAAGCAGCTCGCGTTTGGCTCATTCGTTAAGCCTAACGAGTCAAACACGAACAAATTTTTAAGCTCGAAATGCAAACGCGCCG